GTCATCCGATGTTCCGAAAAGCTACATGATTTCTTCCACCTTGAATCGGTCCTGGGCCTGTATATAGGCCCAATAAATGTGCGCATACCTTTAGCGCAGGGGCTGAGGTGTGAACGTGGCGTCTTGCATACTGTGATTTGTGAGCACTGCCATGAGTGCAGCTCGTTCTGGCCTCAGCATGGTACACGACGGGCGTGTTATGCAATTTCAGCTGAGTTTGCTGCGCACTGCGTGCCATTCTTCGTCCGTGAGAGGGAGAGCGGCGGTCAGGTCCATTTCGATGTTGATATGGCCTTCAAGCCAGGGGAGCCATCGCCCTACAGCGCCGCTGGCACGCGGAATGCCATACCTGTTGTCGGCACGTTGGTCTCTTGCGTAGCTGTTGCGCCGGCCTCATGATAGACCCACCATTGTCGCTTGGAGGCTCGGAGATGGTCCACCAGTCGCCGCGCCACCAGAGGCAATTGCGCTGCAAAATTGGAAAGCGTCCTTGGACATTGGAATGCGTTAACCGAATAAACACCCCCTGTGCATGAAGGGGATCCAAGGAAGATTTCGTCACGGACACTCCACCGATCACAGCATGCGTGCCGAGCGTCGCGCGACGAACTTGGGAAATCTTTCAAGACATTGAGATCTCGCCGTATAGGAGAAATATTTCCGTTTGCAAAGAATGCGTGCCATCATGAGCCTCGTCAGTGATTCAATAACACCTTCAAATCCTAACGCATCCTAAACAAAAACCCCAGAGATCCCTAAGCCTTCACCCCTCAGCCCCGGAAAACGTAACTCCTGAAAGTAAGCCCTCCACCGACATCCCGAAACCCTCAAACCCAAAACCCCAAACCTCAAACGCACGTGTACCCAAAAATCCGGCCTGAGGATGGGGCAAAAGTTCGTCCCGGTCCCTCCCTCAATGGGGCAGGCTGTGATCAGGGGCAGCATCACCTCAGTTTGCGGTTTGGGGGCTTCGGGGTTGGGGGTTGCGAGGGTTTTGGAGGTTTGGAGTTTAGCGCTTAGGCTTCGGACGGTTTTTAGACTGCATGCCCCTAGCCCTGTCGCCTAGATCTCAGCCTGCACACAATCTATGTGGGAAAGAGGGAGACACGGCAGAGGTGGACAAACCACACCTAACCCCCTTCCGGGCAGGATCTCTTCCCCTGGCCCCTCCAAAGGACACACCATAAAGGAACAGGCATGTATACATTGCGCAAGAACCGCATCAGCAAAAACACAAACTTGAACACGACCCCCTACCTGGCCCTACCTCCTGGTACTCCTCCGCCACTATCATCCTTACATGAAATATGGAACTCCTACAGACAGCCAAAACCCAAAGTCCTGGACCCCGATCCCTGGCCACTCTGTAACCTCATAGATTCCCTAGAGAGCTCGAGGAATGCTTGAGCCCTACTGCAACACCAAGACACCAGAGAGCAGATGAAGACGCCCAGCGAAAAGTACTGCCAGGAAACATGTGGGGCTTAGGACTGCCAGGAAACATGTGGGGCTTAGGGATAAGCTTCAAAGGGGGGGGGTTCGGGGTCTGGGGATTGGAGTTCCATGGCTTAAGGACTTGGGGTCTCTAGGATGCCGGTTTTGGCTGGGTTCACGCTTGAAAGCATGAGCAGCTATCCAGATCAAGATCTTGACTACCGTGGGCTCATGTCGGTCTAACTTTCACGTCTCAAGAGTTCAGTCTCAAGATCGGGGGAATCTAATACCGTATCGCCTTGATAGGGACCCATATGAGCATTTACTAAGTTAGCGGAGGTGCATCAGGTTGAAAGTCTGTCAAGGCTGTGCTTCAGTGAAAAGTGCCTCGTTTGTTCTATTATTCCTGCAATGCTGCTAGACATCTCTTCACATACACCCCAGCATCTCATATGGAGATCTCAAATCCTTAAATTCTAAATCCTAACCACCCTTAAATCCAAGACACCCAAGAGCCTGAAACCCAAACCCTGAAACCCTAGACCCCTTACCCCCTGAAAACTTCCCAGGCACTGTCTGATTGGCGTAGGGCGACAACAGGCAGGGGTCGGAAGTCGCCTTCCTCGGCTTCTTGGGACTGTGCCAGGGTACCCCCATGGTTTGGGGTTCCAGGGCCAGGCTTGTCCCTATTTTATCTCAAGAATCCTAACCCTAGGTTGTGTCTTGATTACCATGATTGATTTACCTGCTGGCTATTAGTTGTGTGGGGTTGAGGGGTCGCGGATTGAAATCGCAAGGTCTACCTGAGGCTTTCTGTTTGTTGTTTAGGCGGCTTCAGAAAATAAAGTCCCAGGATGTCGCCTGGAGGACGGCTGGCTCTGTGAACCATGCAAGGGCAGTTGTGATCAAGTTCAGGATTTCAAGTGGCCTGCCTCGATCTCATGGAGCTCGTAGGCTTGAAATTGTTTCTGTTCATGGAGCCCCTCATGAAAAACAGAAAGGGGCCCTGCGACCTTCAAGCTTCTAGGGTCAAGGGAGCCTTGCTAAGAACCCTAACGATTCTCAACAGTCCGCCTGTGCGTAGTCTCTATCAAGCCATGAAATCAAGCGAGCAGCCCTACCCCGATGTTCGAGAAGCCCAGCAAAAGACCGCCAGTGATGCAGACAACCAGCTTCCTGCATCAGAGAAATTTCTGACAGGGCTGAAGGATCCGAGGATTGCCCTAAACCCTTGACCCTTAACCCATACCCTGAAGCATAAATCCTGAACCATACACCCTAAACCTTAAACCTAAACCCCAAGCCCAAGCGCTAAATTCCAAGCCTAAACTCTAAATCGTTAACTTCCCAAATAGGCTTCGTGCAAGGTTTCTTCGGCCCTCCCCTTCCCTGTGATTGATGCGCGAAATTAATGTGGGTTATGGGCAATTTCACCCTGACTGTGCACATTCACTCCCCCACTTACCCTTCAGCAAAGTAAGTCTTGACAATCTGCTCTCGCTGACAGTGCTGGTTTACACATGTGGTGCCCAGGCCGAGGCATAGACCGATCTGTAAGTGCGATATCCACTACCACTATCCAGTATAGTCAACCATTTCAGGGAAATTTCACATCAACGAAAAGTTACTGGTACAGCCTTCCTGCAAAGAGTCTGCAGAAAGAGCCAGCAGCTATGACGCAGTCTTCTCCCTGTTCAGACACGCACAAACTCTTCTACCCGTTTGAAGATCTCACTAATGGTCTGGTCTACGTCTAAATCTCGACCTAGGCCCCACAACACACATACTGACCACACCTGTTGTCAACTGCAAGGTACCTCTGTACCTAGTACCTATGTACCTACGTACGTACGCACGTATAAACTTACGGACATACAAACCAAAGATGCCGTGCCTTAGCATGCTGGCCCGCGGCGGCTTACTTGCCTCGACAACAGCAGTTAGGGTTGAAGATTCAGGGTTTGGGGGTTTGGGGTTCAAGGTTTGGGCTTGGGGTTTCGGCGCCGTGTTTAAAAAATGGGATGAAATAGATGGCTTGAGGCTTGGGGAGGGCTTGGGGATTGGGATTGAGTCTGGTGCTTGGGAAATCCTCGTTTGCTAGAGGTAAATCGTTCACTCGCAGAGCTCTGGGCGGTATCTGAACACCGGTTGGAGGTAGGGTACAACGTAATTTTCAGTGATTGCAATATACTTCTCCCGTGTACTCCTTTGTATTTATTGTGGAGTAAACCTTAAGCGTATCTTGAACCCCTATCTTTATCATCCAGGAACTTGCTCAGGAGACAGGCCACAGCGTCTGTGAAGACATGTTCAAGGCAGCCTCATCTACCCAAATAACGGCCATAGGTTTTGGGGGTAGGACTGGGCTTTGGGTGTCTTAATGTAGCGTGTCATGTAAGCCCCTAACCCAAACCCCAGATCCCAATTTTGCAGCCCCACCTTGATCCCCGAACCCCAACTTAATCCTACAGCTTGCCCTTCGCCTCAAACCCCAAACCGAAACAAAAGAAAACGAAATCCTGAACCCTAAACCCTAAAACATCAAACCTGCACCCTACAACTAAAAAAAACCTGGCACGCGCATTGAGGCAAACGCCGAGCCTCCGCACAGTCTGCTGACTCTTCAGCGCTTGCTGTGGTGTCCTCTCTAAGGGCCATGAGCCTTCTCTTGGAGGCTTGCAAATGGCCATTTGGTAGATGGGCTATCTATCCTCTTCCAAGGGATAGCTGTGCATGCTTGGTTTAAAAGTTACAGAGCTTCGCAGGTGTGTCATGCACCAGCTCGTGTTGCAGCAAAGTCATCCAACTCAAGGCGCTATTCGAGGACGCTGCGTAAACTATGCAAAACTTGTGGGGAAAAGGCTGCAGATGACTCTCAATGTGGGAGACCCATTGAGGACAAGCTTCGGGCTATGACTGCCCCCAGACCATAAACCTCTGACAAACTCTCAACCCTAAAGCCCGACAACCCGAAAAAGATGAACCATAAAACTCTTTAACCGTTAAAGCCCCAAATTTTGGCACTCTTTTTTCTTTGTGCAGCATTCTGCGAAGGAGCCCAACTTTCAGAGCTTCCTGGGGCGCCGCTGGGACTATGCCTGCGGTCATGCATGTAATTGATAGTGTAGTATCTGGGGCTTAATGTATTGGCGCTTATGGCTTTTTGGCATTGGGATTAGGATTTAGGAGCTCGCGGGTTTTGAGCTTCAGGTTTGGGTCTTGGATGGGGGGGGGGTTCGAGCTTGGGGGTTTCAGGGGCCCGAAGATTCTGGGCTACAAGGCTGTATTGGAACAACTGCTTGGACCCTGAATCCCATGTCTTTGTTGCCCAAAAAGGTCAAAAGATGCTGTGACAAGTCATCTCGCTGTCCGTTTCAAAGGATCCTCCCATTCCGGGAGAAGGAACTAAGTAATACAAACATGCACACACCACTCGCATGCACTTGCCCAAAGCTAGGATCCCCTCTTACGATGCAATGATAAAAACCCACAAAAAGACTGTGGCTTGCAAAAAATTCAAAATCCTGATCCACACCGATCCAGATGCATCGCCACGGGGAGGGGGGCTACCTGTAGCCCAGCCGTCTCTGGAAGGAGCGATACCTGCAGCACATGGGCCCTATCTCAAGGTTTAGGCTGCAGGATTCAGGGCTGTAGTGTTTTGGAAATAGGCGCACTTAGGTCTACGTATGAGTGTGAGATGGATGATCCTGGGACATCTTGGGCAGACGTCCAAGAAAGCCTATGGACCCTTGACCCTGCTATGACGCCAAGTACAAGTCCAGGAGAAACGTGCGTCAACTTTACTGTACCAACGCCGGAACCTTTGCAAAATTGTTCTTGGAGTTGCCTCCCTTTCGAAGGACAGCATTTTTGGTAGGGCCACTGATTCCATGGAAGTTTGGGAAAGGGTACTTAGCCCACCTATATGTTACTTTTGAAGTCCCGACTTAGCAATGCCTGAAGAAATCTCCCGATGAAGCGCAAATCATACTATACATGACAGCTGCCCACGTGTGCACAAGCCGCATCTTCAAAAATGCATTTAATACTGTCCCCATGAGCCCTACAAGCATAGCTGTACAGCGCGAAGCCCTTGCCACCCTCTGGTATGAACAGCTTGAACCTTATCCGAGCCAAACCCATGAAATCCTTCTACGTCCCATGAGCACGGACCCTGCAGTGAAAACTCTCCCCCTCAGCCATGGACCCTGTAAGACCCATGAAATCCTACAACCCCCTGCACATCCCCATACTAGCCTTATGCAACTTGTATTAAACCATATTCGGCCCTAAGCCATGCAACACACAAACGGATAGGTTAAAGTCAAACCTGGACCGCGAAACTCTGACCAAAACCATAGGCTCGAACCCTCCACTCTCGACCCTACACACGACAATGCCTTGTACCCCAAAACCCAAAGCCCTGAACCCTAAAGCTGACGCGGAGCTGGGAGAGAAGGGCTCCAGGCATCCGCTCCGCAGCAGCCAATGCCAAGGCTTCGCAGTCGGGGCTGTTGGTGTGAGCCACATCCTGGGGGACCGCTTAGGGTTTGGGTTATACCATTTTATATAGGGTGTAAGGATGGTGAGGGGTGAGGATACAAGGTTTTTGCAGTGCAATCCACATCCTGATTTGAATGCTACTGCTGGTTGTGTAAGGGCTGGCAAGTATGCAAGGATTACTTAAGGCAGCATCATCATGATCGAAGTTTAGGGTTGTGGGTGACTTCAGGGCTCAGGAACAAGCGTTCAGGAAGTAAGGCGAGCTGTCAAGTTCAGGGGCTATTATAGTAATACATCAGCTGATACGCCCTGCATGCCCGATATAAGGTAGGGCCCCAATCCTACACCCCCAACTCAACACCACACGTATCCAGCCCCCCAAACGCAAAACTTTCGCACGCAATTATCCCTGTGGTAACTAACTAGTACAGGGGGGTCACCAGACTTACTGGTGCTTAAAGGAAAAATGAGGAGGGAATATTAGTACTATCACGAAGGGTCAGACTACATGACGCATGCATGCTCCCCCCCTAACCCCTGAGCCCCATACAACACCTGCCAACCCTGTAAACCCTATAAATCCCTGAAAAACCCATATGAACTGAGTTACTTGGCCCGACAATCCTGCAGCCCAATACAACCCCAGTAATAAAATATTTTCCATGTTATTGTCCATTCTCCCAACATAGCCCCAATATAACCCCAAATGGTAAGTCCTCTGTGGGGTAGCGGTTCAAATCTGCCAGGCTTGCGGCTGCACGGGCCAACTCCCGGTGCTCCGGCGCAAGGCCTTCTAAGCAAAAAGGGGTTTCGGTTCTAAGGGGTTTGGTACACTTAGGGCTTGGGTTTTAGGGGTTTGAGATTTAAGGTTTAGTGTACTTGTTGTTGATTCGCTTGTCAGATTTGAGGCCCTAAGGCTTTAGGATGTGAGCTTCAGGTTTAAGGTTTAGGCTGCCGACGGTGTAGGACGCGACCTGACTCTCGAATCCAAGCCCTAATCGAATCCGGTAGTCTCAACACACCTTTCTTGATGCACTTCTGTAAGGGCAGGGCGACCGAGGCCTAAGCCCCTAACAATGACCTCAAAACAGCAAGAAAGATCCCCAGACTCCTACTTAAAGTCCCCACATTTCTCTTCCTTGAGGACTTCAGGCAGACGATACGACCCTGATAACACCACCTCCAAAAAAAAAATCTTGACCTGCAAACCTTCAGCCCAAAGCCTGATCCCCTCAACTCCGCCTCTGAACCCTAAATTATGAAAACTCAACTCTCAACATGCCCTTGTACATCCCCAAACCTTTAAGCCTAATCCCCAAAGACCCCAAGTCCTAAACCCTGACCTTAGAGCCCAAATCCTAAACCCCAAACCCATTTAGACGGCCTGGTAGCCAAAAGTCTAAAAGCTTCTCGACCTCGTGGTCGAAGTCCTTCTGCACGGAGCTTATGGCGTAGTTGGAGGGCGAGGGCTCAGGAAACCAAGATTGAGCTTCATAAAATCGATAGTGACTAAGAAGAAGGTAGTTCAACTTCCTAAGCCGCACCCCACAAAGGACTCCATCAATTGCTTGGCTAAGGGTCTGGGATCTAGGCGTTTGGGAATAGCAGGATTCCAGGCTGTGTTTAAGGGTTAGATCTTTATGCAAGATTTTCAGGAGTTGTAAAGATTCGTTTGATAGGATTAGGTTCTTAACAGTTGTGGGGAGGTTCTTGGGCCGTATTCCGTCCAAAGCCATGAAAGCCTTATCGGTAACCCCTACACCCAAATCAGTCTACACAAGGCATCAAACGGCCTTCTCTTCCCTAAACACCCCCGCCAAAAACAAAGCAATCTTCCAGAGCCCTCTGTCACATGAGCCTTAGTCTAACATCCTAGTGTCCCCTCAGCAACCCATAATACTCCCCTAAATGATCCCCTATAGAATCCTCCTTAAAGGAATTTAGACTATAGCTCACATGAGGTCTACCAAATCCGTCCTTGGAAGATCGGGAGATGGTCTCAAAGCGAACTAGGTGCGTGTCCTTCGCAGAGCTTTGAGGGGTATGTATGGAGGCTGGTGGGGTTGAGGGTTTGGGGCTTTCAAGATTGGGGGTTGAGGGTCTAGGCGGCTATTTGGTCATAAAGGAACACTGTTTGTCAGGGCTGCTGTTTGATGCCTCAACTTCTTTTTTGCCCAGAGGGTTAGAAAAACCTCAACCCCCACTCCCCTTCTCACAAAGCCGTGCATACCAACCCTCAACAATAAAAGCCAGACCAGGCCCTGAATCCCATACCAACCCCCTTGCTGAGTCCATGAAGTCCTCCGGCTGGGGAGACTTGAAAGCTTCCACCATGTTCTGGATGGAGGAAAGCCTCGAAGTTCAGGCAGAGGTTTTAGAGCTCTGTTGTTAGAGCGTCAATAAATATACCTGATCCAGTCAGCCCCGGACCCCATCCCAGCTGCCATACAGACATGAAAAGCCTTTGGCAGGTTAGAGAAGCACATGGTTGCTGCTTAAAATCCTGCGCCGTTCTTGACATAATTGCACGCCATGGCTCCGAGGAATTGTGGATTAAACAGCTTTCATGTCACGTATTATGCGAGGCCCTCAAGCAGAAACCTGAGGCCCTGAACCCCAAACTAAAATCCCGGATCGAATCACTAACCCCTACGTGCAGGGCCAGAGGGGCATTTGTAGGGCCATGTAGGCGGTCCCTTCCTAAGATGGATTTGGATGCATGACAAAGTTTTGGGCGCACACCCCTATTGATGCTTCAAAGCAGTGGGGTTTCTCATAGGGGTCCCCTGAAGCTTCATGGGGGCCCCTGTGAGAGTTATCGAGATCCCAGACCCGAAACCCTAATCCTTGGCCGGGCTCAAGGGTCACGGTTCGGGATTCTGACAGCGAGCGGATGACAGACCAGAGGATGACTTTGGGAGGCGTAGGATTTGAGGGTTGAGGGTTTGTAGAGTTTTGCGCGATTCGGATCTGTGGAGGGCTCTCGTTCTGTCCATGTAGACGACATCACATTGCTGTGACGATTCAAGTCTTAAAATTCCTGCAAACATCTCATGATAGCATGGCTTTCCTCCAGGTCATCGCAAACTCTGAGCCCGGAGCCCCAACAGACCTAAAACAAAACCGCAGGCCCTAACGTCTACACAACCCGTGAACAACCTACTCACACAAGTATAGATCCCGAAAGAACCCTCTCTGTCCAATTCAGCCAATTGAGATCGGCTTCATTGGGACCCATGGAAGGCACCTTGTCTTCAGGATCCATCTCTGGATTCGACAGCTCCTGCGCGCTAAACGGTTCAAACTTCAGGGTTCTCTGGGGTTCCGAAATTGGCTTAGGGTTGAGGACTTAGAGTTCGGCTTAAGGTTTATGTAGGTCATCAAGTTTTGGGGGGCTTTCGCTTGCTGTGGATGTGGTGAGATTCTTGCAGGCATATGACGCGACTACAAGACTAGGATGTGAGGATCCAACTCTGGAAGCACCAGCTCGTTCGGAAGGATGCGGGTGTGTGGTCAGCGTGTGTCGGTAGTGTTGTTTAATCCCCTTTTCCATTTGCATGAAGGAAAGACCCCAGTCGGCCGGGGCTTCAAATCGGTACAGAACCGGTCTCGGGTTTGGGGCGTGAGGTTTCGGTGGAGTGCCAGGGTTGCATGGTTGCTCCAGGCACCTCAAGATCATCCTTAGACCAGAAACCAAAAAAGAGCGTTAGCCCCAGGCTTGAAATCTTGCATCCTAAGACCGCATAGCCTGCAACAAGAAAACCTGAGCTCGAGCCTTGAACAAACTCCAAACTGGAACGTTTTGGTTAATCCTGGGAACCTCCCCGCGGTGATGGTAGCAGTAGGCAGAAGCTATCATGGCCAGCGGGTCGCGAACGCATCCTCTCGGAGTCTGGACTCAAAGCTTTCAGGTCGTACCGGGTCCAACTTGCAGGCTTCAGGGTTCAGGGGCTTTCGGTTGAGGCTTCTTGCTTAAGGTGCAGGGGTGACAGATCAGGGCTTGGGTCAGAAGTTGTGCTTGTCCGAACGAATGGAAAAGGCAGCCACTGCGCCAGGATTCATGGTCTAGGATTCAAGGGTTGTATTCACAAGCTTGAGGGCCATGATTATTAGCATCATAGCATCGCTAAAGCGCTCCTCGAACACCAGATCTGGAACAACCTAACCCAGCACCCCGCACCGCCACAAACGCTCCGCCCCCGGTCCTGCAGCTCTGATGCCTTTGGCACCCGAAGCTCTCCTCTCCTTTGGAAATACTTGTTGGTTAAGGGCTTACTGGAAGCTTACGGCTAGGCTTCTCAGCGCAATTGGAGGGCCTATGGGGTGTGGGGTGCAAGGTTCAGGTCTGCCGGCGATGGCATAGGGACCATATGCGGATTCTGTGGAGGACATATGTAGGGGTACTTGTAGAATGTTGGAAAACCTAGACCATAAAGGGAGGCGAGGTTGCAGGGTGGGGGAGGGCTCGTTGCCATCGGCATCTTACTCATCATTCTGCGGGCGCTATCCCCCTACACACTTCCAAAAAATCCTCTAATGAGCATCTCAACTTCTGAAACGCTAAGCCCGATCATTATGATCCTGATTTCTTTTGGGGCTTACTGTATAGATTTCAGCAGAAAACCAATTGCCGATCTGAAAGTCCATGGTGCGCTTTTCGAGGACTAGGGTTCAAGGCGTGCAGTTCAGTAGCTGTCTAAAACTGTACATAGTAACCATGACAAAATCCAATGTCTTAGGCTGTGGTTGGACTACCTATCACGTATGTCGCGTGGGCTGCCATAAGACATATTTGAGTATGCGGGCTGGCTGGCAAGGGATTACCTTGGACATCCATGCTTGCAGTCCCGAGGATCTAGCTCGGCAACCTTTGCGGAGTAGACTCCTTCCATGTACCTTGCAGACAGGCCAGATCTCAACACTGCGATCCAAGGCACATTTAAGACTCAGGTTTGCCAAGAGGGTTGGAGCGTAGGATTAAGGCTTGAGCTGAATGCGTTACTTCAGTGGCCTAGGGTTCTGGGCTTAATTTCAAGCACCTCGAGAGTGGGACATGCTGCTTGCCCCGTTGTGTTTTTTCTGTGCAACACTTGAACGAAACCATCATCAAGGCTGAGAAGACTGATGTCCAGTAACTATCTCAATTCCAGCTCGCTGCATGAACAAAATTTAAAAACTCAGCATTATACCCGGAGGATGACAACTCCCAGCAGCTCCCCCTTCAACTCCCACGAGGCAAACGCAGAGAATCCCTAACAGACCCTCATGGCCCCTCTTTGAGAACCCTTTGCGCAACTACAGCTCCTGCAGTGGGGAGCCAGTCTGGGGATTAAAGTCGCAGGGTTCTGTGGATGATATTTCAAAGTGTTATTGGTCATGGAAACCATGTGCGGCGCGTCTTTTTGAAAGGGTTCACATTCTGACACATCTTGTGCATCCGTGGCTCAAAATACAGGTCATTTCCTAAAGTAGACTCATTCCAAGACCCAAAGAATGCCATGCTGGGATCATCATCCCAAGCCATGCATTACGGGGCGAAGTCATTATTGTTGGCCCAGACTAACACACAATCGCAAAACGGCTATGCATGCGACGTGATTAAACCCTTGCACATTTCCAACGCGAACCCCCAAGACTACTTACACTACGGCAGAAACTGCCATCAATCACCCTACACAACCTCATTGAAGAGCCAAGCGCCGCCAAAACTGACTACTTGCCCTACTAACGTCGAGGAGCAGTATCGGCGCATCGAGATTCTGCGAAGAGTTGAGGCTGACGAAGCCAAAGTCCTCTCGGATTCTTGACAAGTTTCGGGCTTAGGGTTTAGCGTTTATGGCTCAGCCCTTGCGAGATAGAAGAAAATTCTCTTCCAGAATCTGCTGCGTACACCAAGGTGACAAAGGAAATATCAACTCATGCTAGACTAGATCATCTTCAGCTGAAATCCGTTGTCAAGCCAAAGCAGAACGCCGCGTTGGTCGTGTGTGCTGCGACATCCAGACATGGCTAAAACGTGTTGTTCTGCCATTTCCAGCTACATGTCCACAAAGAACCTAAACGCTAAGCCCTCGAGCAATCCAGAATAGGGGGAGTTCAAGCGTAAAGGGGCTGAAGCAGTGCGGATACCCAGTTTGATAGGATTTCTGGTTGAAGAGCTTACGTCGACTATCGCTTGCGGCCCCGTAAGGCACAAGAGTCGCGAATCTCCCAAACTTCAAATGAGCAAACTTACTCTCAGTCCAAAGCGAGTTGTCAAAGCCACAAAGTAGACACGTACAAACCTGAACCCTACAGCCCGAACAAAACCCTCATGGCAACACTTCTGGCGCCTTGTCAGCGGCGCCAAGCGACTCAAAGATTTGATGCGTGAGCTTGTACCTCACGGCTCAGGGAGTGCAATGTTGTTCCAGGCTTATACATGACCCCTGCTGCAACAAAAGTCTGCCTCCAAACAGCATTTAATAGTGGCATGCTTAAAGGCCCTCATCCCAACTCAGTGTGTAGGGTGGAAGTACCAATCCCGAATTCAAGACTCTTCTGTCCCAGGTGCAGGAGCCATGATCCCGACTTGTGGTAGGTTGCAGCAAGGTATCGATGATCCTGGAGGATATTTGCGTCCAAGGCTTGACTGGTCAAGGACTGGTAGGTTTAGGGTATAGAGTCTGTATGAGGGACTTTTTGGGGAACCCTTGTGGGCTCTGTAGGGCCAGCGGCTCTAATTTTGGAGGTTGGCCTTGCAACTGGACAGGGGTGGCAAGTGGATGTTGTGAGCAAACCCCCAAACACTTGAGCCAAACAAGCCCTAAAACCCTTTGGAGACTCTGCATAACAGCAGCTCCGCTGGTCTTGGGCTTCGAAGGGCAATCATGTACAGCATGCGAAAAACGGAAGAAGAAGAAAGGTTTAGGGCTTAGGGCTTCGAATTTAGGGCTGGAGGAGCACAGAAGTAGTACAGTAATCATCGGGCATATAGCAATTCAAGAACGTATTCTATTTGAATGCAAACACGATTGATTTAAGAATGCCATCGGCGCGTGCGTCTGGATTCCCACTGCAAAATGCATACCTTCAGAGTCTTCCGATCCAGGAGAGAGGAGACGCATAGTTTCCAGAACTCCCCGCATCCAGAAAAGTACGACCTGTGCTGCGAAAGGAAATTCTACAGAGTCTGTCTTCAGAAAAGAAGGAAACAACCGTATGGGGCGAGAGACTTGAAGACTATGAGGTAGAGATCATGTCTTATGCTAGAAATCTTGTTTTGACAAACCCAAGTTGACGATTGCCCGAAGCCCCTACATCCCTGGAGCCTAAACAAGAAAACCCCAAACTGAAGTGATATTTCCCACACACACTAGCGAATTCTAAATTACAACTTCTGCGCGGCCCCTGCATACTCCTTAAACCCTGACTCACGCCTGTGCCCCTTTACCCAAGCGCTGTACCCTAAACCCAAAAAGCCTCCCAAAGCTTTGGCTCTGCAGGGGATGCAATGCCAGAGCTTGCGACTGGAGCAGTGAAACATTGTGATCAGAGATTTAGGGTTTAGGGCTTGGGGTTCTTTTGCTTTCAATTTAAGATTTGTGGATATATTTTCCAGGTTTTTAGGCTTGGGGTTGAGGACTTAGACATCACAGTTGAGGAGTGGGACTGTGAAGGAATTCTGTTATCAGGTCTGCGAGGTAGAAAGCTTGGGGTCTTAGGTTTTAGGCTTTGGACACTCAGGATTAAGAGTGTGGATTTGCAGTGGCCTGTTTGGGACTTCCATGACCCCACACACGCTGCATGTAGGAACACAAATTAGGCCCAGGAACCGAGCCACACAACAAGCACACAAAAACCAATCTAGTGATGCTTCTTCTTGCTGAGCATAATTCGGACTAGGACATTTGACTAGCAAATCCAACGCGGACACAAAGCCCAAAACCTTTAAATCGGCACTTCGCCGGGCTTTTGGCCAAGAAGGCCTTGGCCAGAGAAGACCCTCTAGAAATGAGACGGGGTAACCCGAATCCCCCTGTGCCCTGACTGAGGGAAGGGTTTTAGAGAGTCTCCCCTGGTTGGAATTTAGAACGTGGGTGAAAATATATCACCAGTAAAAATAAAGTGGAAATGTAAGGGAAATTGGGCTCTAGAATTTAGGGTAGTGCACCAACAATGGAGAATCAAATGGAAAAGAAAGAGGAACGTGAAATGGAAGCTTACACGTTTTTGGCTTTCAGGATTAGGCTTACTTAAAGGATCTACCTCTGTTGCGGTGATTTGGGTTTCGGCGTTGAGGGTAAACAGCAGAGCTCATGCAATCACATATTCCAGTTCGAGGTTGCCCTATGAGGAACATGCCGTTTCTGCATGCAGTTTCTGACCGGCAAGAGGACTCTAAGTACAAGGAGGAAGTGAAAACCAATGGCCCTTGAATCAAGTGATGATTCACCAGGTCTCCTGACAGTAGGCGTTCACGACCGTGGCCTCTTATGGTCTCTTCAACTACATCAAGAACTGTCAGGTGGGCAGCTCCATTTCCTTGACGGAGACCGCATTTAGCCAGATGGTTACTATCTGTGAAGCGTCTCCACCACTCTGCCAGACAACAGCGAGATACGTCTTGTTTCTTTCGTGGCCATGACCTACTTGTAACCACGTAACTTTTATGTGCTAAAGAGCCAACCGAACTCTTGGACCTCCAACCCCAAACTGCCCAAGCTATTTGAACCACAGACCAGGACATGGACATTTTTATATAGAGGCAGATTCGGTGTTCTTGGAGGGCACAAACAAGCCAGAAATCCAAAAGATGCTACATGGTGTTCCATGATTGAGATACCACTGCCCCTTTGGAGAAAGGTCCAACCTAGCAATAGGGTCAGCAGAAGTACGCAGCGCGCCATGGCAACAGCACCATTTCAGCTACCTTCTAAACACGTACGGCATATGTAAGCATTATGCCGGACTTTGCGGGTTCGCCCCCTGGGCCCTATACCCTGAATCTACGTCAAAAGTGGCTGCGAGAAGGCGGCGAAGACGCCAGCGAAAGCCTGGAGACCTAATGTAAGGGCCGTTTCCGACAATTGGAGGCCCCGATTTGGCAAGCTAGTTGCTGTCTTACAGAAGCCAACACATCCTACATGACCTCTACACAAGCCATGCAATTGGCCCGCTGAATTCCTCATCTACATGTGCCACTTGGGCCGAGGCCGTGCCTTTGACTCCTGCTTTGCCTTTCAAATCTCTCTGGCCAAGGCTGCGGCAGGACAATCACAAAAGTGGTTTTCCAGCGATCCACGAGCATGATGACACTTAGAGGGTTTCAGGTTTAGGGCTCAGATTTCTTCAGGGTTTAGGGTTCTCTGGATGAGGTGTGTATAGAGCTCAGGAATAATGACATATGTCGGGTTTAAGTCCTTTAGGCTCTTCAGGGTAGGATGCAAGGTTCAGGATCACGGGTTCAGTGCTCAAGGGCTCAGGGTTACTTGTTCCCCTTACCTCATTCCCTATTCAACACTGATTACCACTGAGATCGTCCTGTGAGAGGACTATGTAGGGGATGCCCGGTTCATCATTGGCGTTTAAGGTCGAGAGTTCAGGAGCATTCCCTCATGGCGAGAGATGAGTCTCTCAGACAAGCTCATCAAAAACTCACAACTTTACACATGCGGAGAGGATAGACACTGACACGTGCAAGATTTCAACACGATATGTTCAATGCAAAACGAAACTGACCCACTTGGATCCAAAACTCATGCAGCCTGGCCAAAAGCGTTATGCTAGTAGTTTCAGAAAGTTTCATTACCGCTAAGGATGAGAACCCAACCCCAAAACCCCAAATCCCAAAACGCGATGCATTACATATCCGCCATGGTTGCTATCCCAAACTACATCACCCCTAAAGCTGGCCTCATGCAATCTGCTGATCCTAAACTAAGCCTAACCCGAGACCCTGTGCTTAATCTTCAAAAGCCGTAAACCCTCTCCTGCGAGATTGTACCGTCGACCTCTGACTCGTCTGAGGAGGCCGAGTTCGCTCTGCGAAAGACCTGCAACAGACGAGTATGCAAGCGGTTCCGTTTCAAAAGGGTGCTTCGGATGAAAGGATGCGTAGCATCTGGATTGACTGAGGGTTTTGGGTTTTGGGGCTTTGGCGTAAGCTCAGATTTTAGGGTCCAGGTGACTTGCGACAGCGTTGTGTTGTTTGCAAGCACTCTACATTGCATTGAGAAGCAGGGACTCGCAGCTTTGAAGCAGGCGCAAAATGGGTTCTACAATGTATGCAGTCTGATTAGGAGTATATCAGCATTTCCAAGAAGCGGGGTGTCCCTGATGTACTGCGAGAACTAGCAATCTGACTGAGGTGCATGGTTCACTGTCAGAAGGTCGTCGTTTCGATGCGGGTACCATTGGTTGTGAAGGTTCCGGCATAAGGAAAATGAAGGATAAGCAAAGCACGTCGACAAGTAAAGTCCCGTCTCGCTATAATGCATTGTTCTTTACAGTCAGCACGAAGCCTTGTGAACCTTTTCAAATCAATCAAGCTCAGGTGCGGAACCACCCCAAAGGTCTGCAACCCGCACGTGTTGAATACGTCATTTGACAATGCTTCAGCGGCTGCGCGCCAACATCCGTAGATCTAATCAGGCAAGCAAAACACTGAACCCTGATTGCCGGTGTTAGCACTCTCAATGCTGTTCTCACGCTTGTCAAGCCAAAAGTGCTGACCGCTGCATATCTAAATACAGCAGCCGCTAAACAAACCCAGACGCCTCTTGGTCCTTTCGGAAGGACAGCAACCCCACCGTCGAGATGCCGCACAGAGCAACTAGTACACCTCATGAAAGGCGTCTGCAGGATCGTATCGTAAGGGTCGGGAGTCAGTTGTTGTGAAAACGTCAAGCATTCGAAGGCACATGAGCCTTTGCAACGTTTTTCGGTTTTCGCACTTTGCACTTTGGATTGAACTTTCGTGGGATCATGGCTTGAATAGCACATTGGTTGCAGCTTGCCCAGGCTGGCACAAGCTGGAAGAGTCCAGCTGACATCGTAAGAGTTACCATGGAACATCCCATTGTCAAACCGTCAGATCCGTTGTTGAAAAGTACGCACAATGACCAGTACATCCCCGATGTCATCAACAGACAGGCCGCCTCTTTACCGATGTACGATCCATTTTCAATGCATGTCCCGACTGAACTCCTTATCGACTCCAAAACTAAACTGGAGCTGCGAAAACTCCGTGGTCCTTGCGCATGACGAGCCAAAACAGCAGTCCCCCTCAGTCAAGTCTCTTTAACGCTTTGCAGATGATTTACCCATGTCTTCTTGGAGGGCGTTGACGATATCCCAAACCTCTGCCATGCCTGCCTGTGAACTCTCCTGAGTCTTTGTGCAAGGGTCTGTAGGGGCATGCACAAGAAGGGGTCCGGCAGGGCTTTGAATCTCTGAGACCCCATTCCCTCAACCCTACATCCGAAGCCTAAAGCACCAACCCCAAGATCCAACACGCCTTGGCAGGACTAAGCCCGAGGCCGGGGACCAGGAATGCAAGGTTGCTCTTGGGATCCTTCCAGGGCTCAAGTTTGTTATAATGTTTGTTGTCAATGTTGCTGCTGAGAAGGAAGGGCAGCTGCTGTTCTTCTATCAGTAGCTACTCCTCCTGCTACTACTTCTCCTTCGACTATAGCAACGATGAGGATGCACTGACGACTTGTTCCTTTCCTACTTGGGGGCAGCTCTCTTTCGCCTCACCAGCTTCTGAGCTTCCTTACCATCAACCCTCTGTTGAACTGAAGCCCTTCGCCTTACTCCTCTCCTACCTTCTCTTCACCCCGATTTGCACTCTATATATTCATGGTATATGCGTACATGGATACATCTGGGGAATTTAAACACATAGATGGACGCCAAAAACAGGACCGGGCTCACGTTCTGTGATATTACTCGGAGAGCATAAAGTTAGACCAAAGAGCCGAGTCCTAAACCCTGTGCAGTTGAAAAAAATCTCGTCATGAGAGGATGACAAAATATCTCGTAGCAGCCAATCTAAACCCTGAACCTGGGACACAAAACCTATGCCCCAAACTTTCTCTCAACGGCTAAACCTTCAGAAAACTCTCTACTTTTCGGCCATCAAACCTAGGATAATCTTTTTCCAGAAGCAGACCTGAATACCTATCCCGCCTGCACGTAGGCCACCACAGCGCCAGTGACCATGCCGAGCCCGACGCAAAGCGGGAAGCCAATCGCGTTGCCCATCATCCCAATGCCTGCAATGGGCTACAGATTTAACGTTCAGGGATCGGGGCTAGGGGGTTCAGAAACTAAGCTTTGAGATTTAGCTTTTCCGGCTCAGGCAGTGGAGTTTAGGGCTTAGGCTGGAGTTCAGGCTTCAAGCTCAGCATTCAGATTGGGGTCAGTGTTCTTGAGATGTTTTGACTCGAGGGATCTGGGTTTGCTGGCTCTACATACACTATGTCTACGGGTTGAAGGAAGGCAGCATAGGGAAGGTAGAGATTCG